TTATTGTTACAACTCGATTTATTTGGATTGCTTGTAGCCTATGTTTATTTAATTAATAGACAAGAGTGAAAGAGAATTTCTTTAAAAAATAATTCTGCCTCTTTTAAAATACAGTTAAAAATCACTTATAAAAAGCAATAAAAGCTCTCAAAAGTCATTTAAAATTTACTCTGAGAAGCTAATAGGATTTCTTAAAAATTGTTTAGAAATGGCTTTATTTCAAAACAAAAAATAGCGAAATCTCAGAAATGTCACAATAACAATCTTGTCTTAATAAATTTTAAAAACTGAAATATAATTTTACAGTTCGCTTTTAATTTCTGTTGACTGAAGCAGTAAGTTAGGAGAATTAATAATTAATTACATAAGAAATTTAAGCAAAATAATTAAATTCAAAGCGGAAGAATTGCTTATTTTAAATAACGAATCAACGTCTGCTGCTACATCATCTTTTTTACATTCGTGAATACCCTGAGCAGTCTTTTGTTCTTCGAGTTTAGCGACCTTTTTGATTGTTTGCCTAGTACGATGTCTTTTCTTGCTTCGCTTAACAGTTGTTCTTTCCATAAACATATGCAGGTCAAGGTATTCTAAGGCCTTTTTCAAAGCCTCTAGAGTCAGGCGTATTTCATTGACTGAAGTTTCAATAATTTAACATGGTTATAAATAGATTTTTATTCATGAAAAGAAGCTTTATGTAATTTTTTCGAAGCTAACAATTAAAGTACATGTTGAAAAGACGCTCTGAAACTGAAGTGATTTATCATGTATCTTTTGTTTAGTTCTACGAATACTAACTGCAATTGCTTTTGTTTTTGCTACCTCGAATTTACTCCTTATAGAGATATACGTTTTAACTCGCTGTGTAATAGTGTGTAACTTTAAAATTAAATACACACAAAAAATAGTTTCATTGTAGAAATTTTTTGTTACAATGTAACATCTGGAAGAGTTTGTCGGTAAAGCTCAAACAAGTCAAAAATTATTTAAAATTAAAAATCAATCCATTATTCGTATGTCGTTTCCAGTTTAGCGCATAAAATAATTTTAAGCTAAACATTTAAAATGAGCCGCCCAAACGGTATAGGGAGGGGGAGCCGAGTGTCAAACCAAAGTCTCGCACTCGAATTCCAGAGAAGCCATGATTGTAACTGTCCGTTCCTTCATAGGAGGCAAAAATAGCCCGCCTATGAGGTGCCTCCATAATAAAGTGACAACCAATTCTGGCTATAGCAGTCGCCAAGCCGAAGTCGGCTGAGGGCCCGCATTGGTTTAAAAAAACATTTAAAATTAGTCTAATTATGCAATTTTAAAATGAGGTGGGAATGATAGCAATGAAATGAGTTAGAAAGAAATGATAGATATAAATGAGTTAATTATTGAAAATGCAGGTGGGCTTTTATTTTATTGTTGGTGTATTTAATTATGGCAAAGCACACTAGGGCTATCTGCCTAAAGGGAGGGATGTCTTCGCGGAGGACTTTCTAAGGGAAACTGGCTCTTTATTTTATTGAAAAAAAAAAAAAAAAAAAAAAAAAAAACGTGTTCAAGGTATCCCTCGAGTGGGAATTCTTTTCATTTTACCGAAATACGAAATCCGCTTATTCAGAACAATATTTCTGTAAGGTGGTTAAAAAATTTACTACCCAAACTTCGATGAAGGAAGCAAGGAAAAAAGTTAAATAATCGAAGAAGTTGTTTTAAATAATCGGGAAGAAGATTGAATAGTTGGGTAGTTTTGAATAATCGGGAAGGATTTTATAGAAATTTCATTTTGAAATATAATTCTACAAAGGGGATTCGAAATGATCCATTACTTTAAACTAAGAAAAATCTGAAACATTGGACTGTAAAATCTAACAATTAATGCATAGCAAATAACATGAAAATTGCTATTTTAGTTGGAAATGAAATCTTTTATTACCTGATTTCCATAGCCTGAAATTTTCTTTTAAAAGTTTTGAGGGATGTCCGCAATATTTTAATTTCTCTTTCTTATTATTATGTAGCTAAATTGTAACATACATTTGCAGGATTTTGTTTTGTTCCTTAAACTATTAATAATTAATCGCAGTTCTTCAGCTTTTTTTAATTTATAAATTGCATCATTTATGTATGAAGCTACCAAAACATCAATTTCTTTGGTTTAAAAAAAGGAATTGTTTTTTTATTCTACAAAATTATTCCCCATATATTTCAAAGTTATTTAATTTAAAGTAAAAATAATTAGCGTGCATTCTTTTTTATGCAACAAACAAAATCGTTTTCTTTGTTGCTAGAATTCGTCTTTTAGCAAGACCTAGGAAAATCTATAGGAAAATATGTTTCCGTAAAAAACTTATTAATACAATTGAATTTTGTAGGTATTTGCCATTGCTAATTTTCAGTTTCTTTTCATATATATGGAAAAAATTCAAGATGCTAACTGATATGATTAAAAATATAATTAAGTAAAAGTTTAAAATATTAAAAATATTTTTTAACATCTAGAGTTAGTTTAGAAAAGCATGCATCTCCTTTTTTCATTATGAATTTGCTACAGCTAATTTTTCTAATTCTTACCACCTTGCTATCAATACATATGATGCTTCTTACAACCATTAATAATGTTACTAGTGAATGCAAATCTTTATAAAGGTTTAACATTCAAATTTGACTGAAAATTACAAAGGATGTTTCCAAAACATTATTCGTGCGGTCGTAAACTCAATGTCTCAGTTTAAGAAGAATAAAATAAATTAAATGCTTAAACTGATTCAGTTTTGATCCCATTAAAGTTTTCTTCACAAAGAATTCGAACTTAAAGTTAACTTAAAACTTAGAGGAAGAGGATTGGCAGACTCGAATAATTCAAGCTGAAAATAATGATTTATCTATTTACGAATAAAATTCCTCGAAATAGTATTAATTCAAATTTCTGGGGATCTTACACCTATATTGTCATGTATATGCCACCCAGACGGTATCGTGGTTAGGGAAGTTTACTGGTTCGAATCCCGGAGAATGTATGTAAAATGTATAGTTTTTTTGCAGCGTGGGGGCACTCTATATACATGGCGAGCCGAAGTCTCACTCCTTCAGGCTCTGGCAACCATTCTTCTATGAAATTCATGGAGAAAACAAGTCACGCATATAAATTTTTTGATGCAAACTTTTCAAAAATTGCCTTTATGTCAAATATAAATTAGTTCAGAAGCATGGATTTCAGATTTTAATCTCTAGGAATGCTAAAATTTGAAATTTTTACATCTAATACAATTCGGGTTTCAAATTATATCTAACCATTGATTGTTCGTTTTTTTCGGTAAACTGTAATTTAAGTCCTAAATCTTTAAAAAAAAAATTCCAGGGTCAATTTTATACGTTAGATTGTATAACCATAGAACATCTTTAAAACGACTGAAGGATTCCTGATTAATTAAAAATATTCTTTACAAATAGTCCTTAAAAACGTTTTATTTCAAGGATTTTTCCTCCCGCATAATTTTTACTTTGAGGTGTCACATGAGCAAAACTGCAATAGGATGAAAGTCAGCCAGCTTTATTTGTTTATTTTTTTTTAACTACAGGCATTAGCCTACAACCGAATTTCAAAAGTAATCAAGTAATCTTGCCGAAATATCCCGTCTATTTACAATATATCACATTTCTTTAAAAAATAGGTTATAAAAGAATAATTTTCAAAAACGCTTCGGAAGATTATGCATTATTTAATTTTATATTAGATAGCAAGATCATTTCCTCATAAATTTTCATCATAAATAATATAATCATATATAGGTTCATTAAGTATTTTGTTTGTAAGCAAGCAAGATGAAGAATATCGCCATCGCCGGGAATCGAACCACGGACCTCTAGAATACCCGCACAGCGTACAGAACCACTATACCACGATGTCACGCTACGAAGGCGGCAGAAATACCTTATAGCTTTATTCATAGTTTACCTCGATAAAATGTTGAGTTCTTACTGCTTTAAACATGTGAATTTTAAAGGCGCCGGAATCTATAACTTCTAAAAACTTGATTTTTTCAAATGATGCATTGAAATAATTGAAGAATAATTTATTGAAGCTTAGTTTACAGATATATAAAATTATCACCGGGGCTGCTTGCAAAAATGTCACCTAATTAGAAAATCATATCTCTGAACTGATACCATGTAGTAAACTCAAGATGAATGAAGGTGAACCATGTAAAAAATGAATAACCATTTAGTCATTATTAGTCACAAGGATAAAATTATATTTTCCTCGAGTTAAAAAAACATATATATTTGAAAGGTTTCAGATTTTATATTACTTCCAAATTTTTTTTTTTTTTTTTTCATTTACACATGCGAGCATTTGTGGTAACGTTCATTTGAGCTAAAAATATTTTTAAATAGTATACCTTTAGAATTTCCGATAGAAATTCTCGAGCGCTGGAGATTGTTTTATTCCATTCAGTGTTGCCAATGCTCGCTTAGAAATCGTTGAGTTTTTAAACGAAAATTCGGTAAAATGAGTGGAGGACTACGTTATTTAAAATTTGATGACTCTGGGTGCTGTTGTTTTTTCACAGTGCGAGAAACATACATACATTCATGTAGATGCTTCATTATTTCATTTCATTAAATATAATATAGGACAGTAATATTTGATGGCAAAAATTTGAAAAGTGATGCAGGCCTTTTAGTGATTCGACGCAAAATGTGTTTCGAGACTAATGGCCCTTCTGGGCTAACGCCTCTTTGTGCTAGAAAAGCAAGTATTCGTTAAAACCTTTTTACCGAACGTTATTTAAGCAAGCTAATGCTTTACTTCAATTAAATTAATTATGTATTTGAAGATAGCAATTCTTTCACTACAATTTTCATTTTTAAACTGCAACTGGCTGTTATGTTGTTATTCACTTAAAACATGTAACTGGAAAATAGCCTTCTGAAGTATTCCTATATTCATTTCTACTTTAATTGTTTATGATGAAATAACAGCAGTAACACCCATTTCTGCTCTCCAGGATCACTGAAAATGAAGACCTCTTGGCAAGTATCAACATTAGTTGTAGTAATACTGGCGGCCATTATACTTGAAGTATACTGCAGACCTTCAGATGAAACTAACGGCAAACTCAGGGAAAGAAGACAAGCAGTGGAAGACAGACAGTTCATAGGAGGCCTTTCTACTCTTGGAGCTCTCATACAACCCATACTTTTCATGATCGGTATGGCTAACTTCATGGGCCGGATACCCATGTTTTTCAATAGGTAATGCTTAAGAATAATATCTTATTTTTTTTATTAAATTTTACCTTATTTATTTAATTTTTTAAGTCAAACATTGTTAGTTATTTCTTAGTAGGATACAAAAATAAAGAAACTGATAAAGCATTAGAACTTTCATCCTTAAGGCGAGACTAATTGAAAGTTTACCTTGTTTCGTAAGAAAAGCAGTTCGCTTTCAGTAGATATTGTGAAGTAAATAATGTAAAAAATTATATTTTATGAAACGAGTATGTAGTATATTCAGAAAGATTAGTATGAATCAGGTTGCAAAAGCATGAATGCAACAGAAATTTATCATTAGCACTTTTTCTCTCAACAGTGGAGGAATTATCTTCAAAATCATTCTAAATTTATTGTAATAACTCCCACATGCAATCCATCATAGTTTTATTCTATTGTCCTTGTTAACAACGTTATGACCATCGCATGTCATGGTGAAAATTCTCACCTTATTCTGAATTCTCATTTATATCCTTTTATCTTGAATTTTCCAAGTAGGCATCTAATATGAGCATGTTGTAGGACATTCAAGGACCCAGGAAGGTTTTAATCACAGCTACAAATCCTAAATCTCTTTTCAAAGGCAATGATTTTCTTAGAAGAACTCTTATTCTTTACCATGATTTTTATCTGAAATGTGAAGAAAACTATTACTTCAATCTCATATATTGATAATTTGAAAACAGAGTCCAAGAAGTGTTTCAAAATAGCCAGCTTTCTATCCAGAGCCAGGACAAATTGCTTGATGAAATTTGGATTGACTTAAGCAGTAAGACCAGCATTTCTTAGAGATAGAAAAGGAATTTCACCTGATACTACGAATCGCTTTCAGATTACTGAAGGCAGTTCTTCTTAGGCTAGTATGCTTTGGTGTTTCATTTGTCCCAAAATGGAGACGTAACAAGAAAATTTTCTAAAACTAGCATGAAGACCATCTGGAATTCTACTAAAATGAGGTTTTTTATTGACCTTCCAACCATATTATTCGTGCACCGAAACATTTAATAAGGTCTGTAGAAGGAGCGCCGAAGTAAACCTTGTCTCAGTAGTTGCTTTTATAGGAGATTATTTGTACTTTTTACCTCGATAACTCTTCAGATGACCTTCGCATGCCGTCGCGGGTAATTTCGCGCCAACAATCAAGATGTCCAGAGCTCGAATCCCGGTGAGGGCATTGCTCAGTTTTCACGTCTTCTATTCCGAAATAAATATCTAATGACTTTACAACTTCTCTTTCTGAAAACTATTTGACATTTGACGGATGGATACTTCTCTTTCTGCAGTTAATCCGCTACGGCTACAAATGTCTATAAATTAACCGGTACTATTCACGTGCTTTTACGACTCTATTCTGACGTCCTTTCGTTTCCTTAGGCTATCCAATACGCGTATGATATTCAGTTGTGCATTCTAATACCCAATGGAACAAAATCTTATAACTGAATCATTCTCAGAAGACCTCTGTCAGCCTAAAGATAAGTCCTTGGCTGCTTTTATTATTAGGTTCAAATTTAAAATTCAAAAAGAGCAGGATTTCATAAAATAGAAAATTTCTTGTCACGGTTTTCCTTATTTTAAACGTTGTTCTTCATATATTCTCATTCGCTGGGAGACCATCGCCCATGATTTAAATTCTTCCCCTTAAAACTGTAAATGTGTAATTATACAGTGTATCATAAAAATTTTCTCATGCTGATATGTGAAAAACTGAGGAATTTTTAAAAAAAAATCTTGAAGTACCTATTCTTTGTTGCAAACATTCCAGTTACAAAAATTGCTTTCAAAAGAAGCAGGTCGTATGCTTGAAAAAATTTGAAAGCTTATACAATTTGAGTAATTTTCGAACACTCATTATTTACTCTGAATTTAAGTTAATGCAAATTGGCTTAGAAAAGAAAGACAGTTGTTGAAACTATTGCCAAGAAAAACATGTTGCTTAATCAGTAGTACTGCTATCAGTCCTAATTAACTAAATAAATTAAGCGTAGCATATTTATATAAATACATAACTCATTATAACCCTGTAGAGTCATTAGGTTATTTTGAAGCAGCAGATGTGAAAAATACATAGTGCCTTCGCCGGAACTCGAACTCTTGGATCTCTTGAATACGAAACGAGTACGCTTGAAATTACACCACAAATGCAGTCGGAAAGGAGGGAGAAAATATCTTATACCCGTTATACGATAATTTATAAAAATAATTAATTTTTTATTATAATATCCTGTCATGGTTCTTCCATCTGCTTTATATTTTCATATGTATGTGAAAAATTTAGATATATTCTTTGACATTTTATTTTCATACACATTTATCTGAAGCAGTTTTAACTGTTTCTGTCAAATAACAGAAAAAGAGTTAGAAAATACAGCATTGATCGATGCATGTTTTACGTTAGCTGACAAGGAACGCTAAAATAGTGTTCTATAGCAGTGCAGCTTGTAGTACTTCGCATAAACAAAGCAAGCTGACAAATTTCGCATCAGAGAGCAGGAGTGTTGCATTCGAAAAAATAAAACAAATAAATTTCCTAATGCCAGCATTATTTGGGCTACAAATTCAATTTTACTTCCGTCAAAATCATCCAATAACTTCCTCAATTGGTGTATCAGATTCTTTTGAGGCTTCCCATATCCATATTAATCTCTCTGCACTAGTCAATGACTCAAATTCTAACCCATATTTCGCACCCATCCATCAAGAATTCGTTTTTGAATATATTTTCTAGTCCTAGATGGTGCAACTTTCTTGTGTTCAATTCCCTTATTACCTATTTCCTATCTTCATTGTAAAGGATATCATGGGTATTTCTAGCAAATTCTTGATATTTGTTAGCCGATCTTCGTTTGATCTTTGTTTGATCTTTGTTTGTCTTTCATTTAGTTGCAGTTGAATAAGATCTGTTTTAGTTGCTGAAAGTGCCTTTGCTGAAATAAAATGTTCTTCAATCAACGTTGTGTTTTACCACAATCGGTTTTTCTTGGCACGTTATTTTTTTCTATAAAAAGTGAAATATTTGAAAATTTACTTTTGTATTTTCAAGATTTATCGTATTTTAAATTTTTTAGGAAAAAAGGTACCTTATTTTTGCATTTTATAGCATATCTGAAAAGGAAATGAATCTTTAACCTTTCAGATAATGTTATTTGTTATTAACCCTACTTTTACATTTTGGATTTACGTTCTGTTAAGGTATAATGATACTGTGCATATATATGGTGTGTGTGTAAATGTTCTGCAAAAATTTCAGATAAATGTGCAAACTGATTTTTTTTCATTTTTATGCTTCAGAGTGCGCGATCGATTCAGTTCCACATTATCAGGAACAGGAGCCCCAGCCGGTGCAGGAAGGAAAAAGAGATCTGTCGGGGGTGCTTTCGACGATGACACTGATGAAAAATCACTCCGAGCCCTAAGAATGTTAGACGAAGCCGAAGAAAAATACAATATGAGGAGCTGAGCTCTGGTAATTTGACTTTCCATTAAATTTTTAATACATAAAATACTAAGCAATTTTTTCTTTAAAATTTATTCTAAACTACGGAGTGTTTTATTGCTATTGCAACGATTTTCAAAATTTCGCGAGAACACTTTAAGATAATAATTATCTTTATGAAGGTTTTTTTTCAAAGTCTACAGTTATAATTTCTTTACTGTAGCTACCAATCTGAGGAAGAATTTTATGAACACCAAAATCTACAAATTTCGTTATTCGAGTAGTTCAGCAAAACCTCGAATGTGGCATGTTAGCAAAGGTTAAAGCAGAGTCAAGTATTATAACCATAAGCATATCCATATTCTTAGCTATTACTAAATTAACATAAAATAAGAGAAAAGCAAAACTGTATGATTTTTTAAAAAGGTTAAAAGTTAGTAAAAATTTGAAAAAAAAAAAAAAAAAAAAAAAAAAAAAAAAAAACTTCATTTAGTGCGAAACTTATTAAAGACCATAATGAATTTCTTTTCCTTCTGTGTACCAACTGAAATGTAATATTTGTTGGAATTATTTGCCGTTTTCATATTATGATGCTTTGTCGTATTCGACTAAACAAATGAACATCACAGCTCTATTTGTCTCTGTATATAAAGACAATAAATAGTCTTACATTCAAATAATTTTTAAATTCTTGAAAGTAATTTAAATAAGAAAATAGTATTTTTACTTAAAAATAATTCACCTCAATTACATCGCATTCTTTTCTCTTGAAAAATGCGCAAGTTATATGAGCAAGTATAGATAAGTGCGCAAGTATAGATATGAAACATCATACGTTTTGAACTGCTATATCTCTTTCATACATGTGCATTAAACCATGCAAAATTTAATTCAGATCAATCAAATTCATACTCATGTAAAAGAGCATTTAAAGCAATGTATGTTTTACAAATATGCAGTTTTTTTTTTTTTTTTTTTTTTTTTTTTTTTAAATATTTGAGGAAATATAAAAATTTATTCAGTTGCGAACGGATTAATTATGATATTCTTAAAGCTCAATTTTTCTGTCATTCACTCATTTTAGAACTGCTTAGATATTATGGACTCGTGAATATATTTGTTTTTTATTTCCCAGCAGGCATATTATTTTCCTATTTTTCTGAAAATGATTTCCTATAAATTTTTACTTAATTTGATGTTATTAAATTAACACAGTCCATTATTCTGGCAATTTACGAACAGTGAAATTCTGTGTTAGTCAGAACTAATCAAGATTTTTCCGATAATAATAACAATGAAAAACGAAATCTGTAATATAGAAGTTAAATTGATAAGCAACATAATCAGCATAACTTATTGATAAGCAACATAAATCAGCATAACAGGAGTAATTTTGCAGTAGTTTGCTAAATTTTCCAAATTTAAACAAATTTATTTTTCAGCTGCTTTATTCTTTCGCCTTGTAGTCCATAACTGATGCCAGAGACGTCCTTCTCTATAATTTAACTAGAAAACACTGTTGTTCCCACGCAAGCACATTTCTATCTTTTTGCCAATTATACTTCCGCAGTTGAAGGAGAAGGTTTTCTTACTTTGACATTATAGTCCTGCAAATTTACTCATATTAAATAGTTAAGTAGTATTATTTCTTACTTTAACACTTGCTTTAAACTTAAAAAAGGACATAGATGCAAAATAATGGATATGAGTCTATCGTTATTATCATCTTTCTAAAACCCCCACTTTTGCCATTCCATTAACTCTACAAGCTTTCCCGGTTCCACGAGTTCACCGAGCGCTTAAGACTGCTGAAGGCGAATGAGCTGGCTGCATATTTGGATTTAGTGTTTTTCTCTACTTTTCTGTAGCGTGAATGCGAGCCAGTTTCCCTTATAAATTCCTCCACGAAGCATCCCTTTCCTTATGCAAATAACCTTACTGGGATTTTCCGTATTAAAAAACTTTACCTAATTTACATACCTCTTCTACGAGTATCATATTTTTTGCAAGAAAAAAACTTACAGAACAAACACCAATCATCCTACAAAATTTTCAGAGAACTTTTTTGTTTATGGTTATACAGATTTATTTCTAACATAATCTCATTTAAATTTAAATTGATTAAAATTTCTAGGCTAAAGAAGTGCACTGGAGATCTTAGATTAAAACTTTAAAATATTAAAATTTGGGAAAAAAATCGTTCTTATATTACTTCAAAGTTCTGAACACTTTTCTTCTATTAGACAAAGAGCGTTTTTTTTTATTCGAAATACGCTGAAATAAAAGTATACATAATTTCTCATGATTCTGAATTTCCTTATAAAAATCAAAGAAATAGGCATTAGAGTTAGGGTTAGTTAAGGGCAGTTGAGTTTAAAATTGCATGCTGTCATAATCGTGCCGCGGCTCTCGAGTTTTCCGCCATATACGTTCCATGACATAAATCATATTCATTTGTATACAACATGAATTTTGTTTAGTCCGGTTATAGATAAAGTCTTTCATTCCCGCCAGTAGGGACAGTGGTTGGTGACTTTTGCCCGGTTCCGAATCCCGGAGAAGGAATTGATGTTTGTAAATGTATAATGTTTGTGCGACATGGGGGCATTCTAAATATGCGTGAGCTGAATGTTCTCTCGAGAGGTTGATGGTAGGGGAAGGGGGTGGAAGACCTTCAGACCCGTCCACCCGGTATGCTTTTCCTCAAAACTGGGGGAGAAATTGAGCTATATGCTGCTCAAAGCTCATGCCAACGGCAGAGGCATTTGACTCCTTGCCACGATGAATGTCGTTCACTTGTGCTGACCATTGTCAGGCAACTGAGATTGGTAACAACAAGTACCTCATTTGTTTTATTGCTTAGCGTTTTTTTAAATAGTTGTTTATTATAAATGTATATACATGTGATATAATGGGCAATGTGGGAAATGTTAATGTGTTTGCCATCTTTTATATAAATACACTCTAACAATTTTACAAAATTATTTATTTTTTAATCTTATTTTAGCGTCCGATAAATCTGAAGAAACATGGAAAATATTGTGTGGAGCCACTGGGGTCATCAGGTGTAAAATATTTGTGAAGGTTTCTCATTTTGACCTGCTTCAAAAGTATCTGGAGACGGAAGCAGTTGTGACTTTGGAGATGGTACTCACCAGTTAAATTTAAAAAAACTCGTTGATCGAGGCACGCCATTTTATTTTTAAATTTTCTATTTTATTGTGTACATTGTCTTGTAAATAAAGCATCCTCAATCTTTCTAATTTCTTTCCAATCTCGGTGTCTGTTTCTCGCAGTAAAAATTTTAATTAGGTAGCTAAAACCTCTGAATGCGTTAGAAGAGGAAATGATTTTGTGATTTGTAAACAAATGGATGTTTTTATTGTATTCGTTATTAGGGATAAGAATTAGTTTCGAGAATGGAATGAAAAATAACAGATAATTAAAGCACAAGATTCAAATATTACTGTTTAAAAGAACATTGTTATTTATTTTGTTGTTCAAGTACATATAAAAGGCACACATTTGTAAAAGTTATGTTGTGCGAAGAGGCGCGACGTGTATTTAAATCAAGAAAACTGCGAGATTTTTTTTCTAAGAAAACCAGTTAAAGAGCTTATTTCTGTGATTTATAAAACCAAGTAAAACAAAGTCTCAAAATTAATCAAATCAACTAAGTAATCTGAAATCGAATATTCGTGTGAGTCTGAATCCAATTATCTTGTTGGCCCAAATATAGGATGATATTCATTTTTCTGGTAAAATATCCTTGTTAGAAACGCAGCTTATTTTTTAAAATAGTTATAATAAAATAATTTATTTTCAAGTTCTAAAAGAATATAATATATATTCAAGGCAGATAGGCTTACTTTTAAACAGTTAAAAACAGGCATATTTAATTAATTTTACCCCATTTGATCTGTTTAGATGGCTCCTTTTTGTAGTGTTTCTCCTCAAAAGCAATTTTTTCAGTAAGTACATGAAGCAAAAAAGGGAAATATAACAAACTCTTTACCAAATGGCACAAAAACGATTAAATGATTATTTTATGAGTTACAGGATTTGCGCAATAAAACTGAGTTTTTCTATTTTACACTATTCGCAGAAAGAAAGAAATTATACTTAAGATTTAATTTATATATCTATTAGTTTAACTTCATTTTTCTATTTTACAATAGCCTTAGATATCTGTCGAATTCTATTTGAATGCTCAGAACATTCCCTTGGGTCACAGCGGCGCATTTTCCTGTTGCTTCATTTTGTAATTTAGGTATTTCTTGAAGCTCCATAGTTTGATTTGTACAATCTCCAACAATGCATGGCTTTTCACTATCCTAAATGGAAGAAATGGAATTAATTACTATTAAAATTTTAAAAAATAGTTATGAGTATAAAAATTTGGAATTTATCAATGTAAATTTAACATTTTCTATTAATCTTGCAATATAAATGCAAAATATTTTACTTTACTCATTGGGATTCTTCTATTTATTATAAGGATTTTATATTCAATTATTTATAATGCATTTGGGAACTTTAGCTACGAATGTTATAGGTTATATTCATCATTATCAGATCATTATTCGTAAAATGCTATCAAACATTTTTACAAACTACAAACATGCTACAAACTATTTATGTAGCTTTGTTTATCAATATAGATTAATGGTACACAAAGTTTATTAATACATAGCCGTATGATAAATAGTACACATAAATATATATAATAGTTTACATTGAGTGATAAGAATGGAAATAAGGTATTAATACAAAATTAATTATTCGGTGTTCCTTGATCTCTTTTCTTATGACCATCTTTATTTCATCAATCACTTTACGCCATTCGAGCTATTGTAATTTTACATTATAACATCCAATAAATCTTTTTATATACAAAATTTTTCTTTCGTAGGATAATTTTGTTCAAACAAAGTAAAATTTGTAATATTTAAAATAACTTCAGAATATTCTTTACAAAGAAATTCCGTTTTTATTCAATAAATAAAATGGAATCAAATTCAAGAAAATATAAAGCTTAAGATGGGAAAAATCGCGTTATGTTATCGCGTTTCCAGCAAAATATTCTCAATTTTAGAAGGTTTTTCTCCCCACACGAGGATAGAGATCTACTAAATATAAGACAAAAAATCGTCCTCGGCCTGTCACCAAATAAAATCTTCATCCAGAATTAAGAGAGAGAGAAAGACCATTGTAGTGAGAGCTATAATACCTTAGCAGGAGAGTTCGCTGCTCATAAGATCGATCAGGGATTCTTAACCAAAGTAGAATTCCCCTTGAGGGGAATTTCAAAGTTTCAGGGAAGAATGCGGTCGACCTCTTATTTACTGTTAAGTACTTAGTTTTAGTTTAGGGATAGAAAAGACTATTTTTATTAAATTCCTGGTCTTTATCAACATTTTCTATACATCCCCTTGCCTAATTTATAGTACGCATTAAAAAATATAAATTTAAGTAAATGCGTATATGCCTTTTTTGAGTTTGGGAAAAGAGGGAGGATGGCCGTCTGGCAGTGATAAAAGGCGTGCATGGGCAAAAAAAAAAAAAAAAAAAAAATCAAAAAAAAAAAAAAAAAAAATTTAATAAAAAAAAAAAAAAAAAGAATAAGAACCACTGATATAGATATAATATTATGACAGCACCAAAAGATTTTTATTTATTTATATTAGGTACAGCAATTCTGACCTTTTCGAAAGCAAATAAAAAATCAAAACAAGTAAAAAACAATCAAAATAAATAGGTACAGCAACGATAAATATAATGGTAGTTTAGCATATGCAATAAGTACCCACGTTTAGTATCCTTTATCAGCACACCGAAAATTTTTAACACTGCTTACTACATAATAAAGCATCAACACCTCTTAAATAAACTGCACTAATAACGATACTACAATTCACAGAGAATCTTTACTCATGAGATAATAATTACTAGTAATGAATTTTGTCTCTTTCTGCTGAAAAATGTTAGGTATTTTAAGCTGACGTATACGTAATTTTAAATTTATTAGTAATACAAGTATGTGCAAGCGTCTAGAGTAAAATATTCTCGAAAGAAATACTAAAATGACTTCATTGGAACTGGGGAACATTATTCATACTTTTCAACTTAATTTCAATGTACTCCCTTCAATTCATATAAAGGTGCACAGAAGTGAATACGCACTTACTATAATGCTTCTTGTATAAAACTCATAACTGTCATCTTTAAACCCATCTTCTGCAAAATTTACTTGTGTAGATTTCTCTAACATGCCAGGCCTCTTCAGTTTCATTAAAGCTTGAGCTCTTTGATGAAAATGAATGGCGTCTATGGCATTTTTCAGCTTATCTTCGAGGTTGCTTAAATTTCTCTCGCTTAAGAATCCCGTCAGCTTTCCTGAAGACTGAACGCTATTTCTCAAACATGTAGGACACAACGAAAAGGACTGAAAGGTTGATTTCACCACGTATAGAGTTTTCAGTAATGTCTCCAAGTCATCATCCCTTTGGACATTCTGGTCATCTTTTACCTAAAGATATAAAAACACATTTATAACAAAATACAGAAAGTGTTTTATGAGTTTTAGTAATGAATAAAATAACCCCTAGAAATTGTGTTTAAATTTACTGTTGTCAGTGTATGTTTCAGAACTAATTTTCCCATGGTCATTAGTCGTGTTTTTTTTTTTTTTCCTTTTCTTTTTTATGCTGGAGACGTGAAAACGGAGCTACGCCCTCTCCGGGACTCGAACCTGGACCTCTCGAATATGCCGAGTGTGTTAACATTACACCACGAAGGTATGCGCCGAAGGCTCCCCACGAAGGAGGGGAGAGGTAGAATTTACCCATTAACCACATGAAAGTTGACTGAAGATGGTACTTATCAGAAAGTGTGATCTCTTGAATGATAATTCAGTTCAAAAGTAATAAGAATAAATTTCAATAACATGTAAAACTGGAAGAAATTTCATAATATAAACAGTATTCTATGACTATGTTAAGACACATGAGGAAAACAAATTTTAGAGTTCGGGAACTTTGCAATTGCACTATATTTTAAAGCTGCATACATTTCGTGGAAAAAATTAAACGAAAATCATTATTTCATTATAATTTCACATTGATCAATTCGAACAAAATTTTGGTAAGTGTACATATTAATTTATTAATCAATAGAATATTAATTTATTAATACAATCAATTTTTAAGGATTATGTAATGAATTACTTTAGATGCTTAGCTTTGCAGTTTACATGTTATTTAAAGTTCTTTCGAATTTACCTTTGGGTTCAAAACTTCTAAAGAAAAATATTGGTTCCCTATAGTGTTCTACAGACATTATTTACATTATTTAAACACTTCTACTCTAATTACGGACGGTATAGTGGTTAGGAAAGCCGCCCGCAGAACGCATGGATGTGATACTTCTTTGGCAATATGAAGCA